CTTTTTTTTAAATCGCTAATATGATGCATCTGTAAGTTCAATTTACTTCCTTCCTTTTTTTTAGATTTTGCCTCCTTTTTTTTAAATGGCTAATATGATGCATCTATAAGTTCAATTTACTTCCTTCCTTTTTTTAGATCGTCAATATGATGCATCTATAAGTACTCCAACAATTCCAAATTTATACAATGTTGAAGGAAAGGAATTCAATTGTGATATCAAATCATGCTATTTCTATAGTGTAGTCCTTTCCAAAAATCAATTTTCATGATGATGCATATATGATTTCCTACATATTTTATTTTTATTCTTAGTAGCCAAATTTATTTGGATGCTCTTCAAATCCTTTATTCTGCATATTCATAATCGACTATACCGTCATCTACACAAGGTTAGCAAAGTGATTTTATGTATTAAATTTCTTTTATTGAATGTTATTGCTTGTTATACATGATTTTTTAATGATGACCTTCTGTTACAAATGAGTTGATTATTATATAATATGCAATTATGCAAAGTCTAAGTATTTTGGTTTTCTTTTTGCTTCATTGGTGGTGTTCCATAGAATGCCTCAAAGAAAGAACTTCTGACACCAAAGACATTTTAGTTCTTTGATTTGGAATGCATATATGAAAATTATTACTTTACCAATTGCTTAAGGTTTTTAAATTTATATTTAATTTTTTAATAAACTGTGTAATCACACCTAATCACTTTCACAAATATATTTTATTATAAATTACAATGTGTTTCTAAGTTCATATTATTCAATCAATTTTTTTAAATAAAAACAATCCAAACTTAAAATACGTAGCTTTGTTATACAATTGTCACCCTTCCCGTTCTCCCCTTGTTAGAGGGTAACACCAATGAAAACGTTTCTTCTTGGGCATCAAGAAATTCGATATATGTAACCAACAAAATATTCTTGCTAACAGCATCAACTTCCAGAAGAGTTAAGTAATAGACTTTTGGCACTTTGAAAAGGAATGAACCTCACAATTTTCACCATTGTTTTTTTACCCTATAAATGAGACCTGAAGTACTGAGTTCGATTTTGCATAAATGCTCAAAAACAAGAGCATTTCGATATGGGTTTTCCCTTCATGCAGTTGCCGTCAAAATGGGTCTTGAATCCAACGTTATCATCTCGAATCATGTCCTCAATATGTACGCAAAATGCGGGAAGATGGAATTCGCTCGCCAAGTGTTCGATGATATGCCTGAAAGAAACCTTGTAAGTTGGTCTGCTATGATTTCTGGTTACGATCAGGCTGGAAAACCTTTAGAGGCAATTGAACTCTTCGCTCGTATGAAAGTTGATCTCCCAAATGAGTTTGTGTTCGCTAGTGCTATTAGCGCATGTGCTAGCCTCTCTGCTGTTAATATAGGTAAACAAATTCATACAAAGTCAGTGATTCTCGGCTACTCAAACATCTCTTTTGTATCTAATTCACTTGTATCCATGTACATGAAATGCAAGCAGTGTAATGATGCATTATCAGTTTTTACAAAAAGTTCTGAACAACCAAATACTGTTGCATATAATGCTATAATTACAGGGTTAGTAGAAAACGAACAAGTTGAGAAAGCATTTGAGATGTTCAAACTTATGATCCAACAAGGTCTTGTTCCAAATCATTTTACTTTGGTACCTCTTTTAGGAAACTGTAGCACCACAGATAACTTAAGGATCGGAATGGAATTACATTGTGAGGCAATCAAGCTGAATCTTGATTCCATTCCTTTTGTTGGCAATGTGCTAATTAAAATGTACTCAAAGTTTACTCTAATCGAAGAAGCCGAGATGATCTTTTGGTCAATTAAGGAAAAAGATATGATTTCATGGAACACATTCATCACAGCATGTAATCACGCCCTTGATCATGCCAAGGGTATAATCGTCTTTAAGAAAATGATAGAAACACATAGTTCAATCCCAGATGAGTTCACGTACACGAGTGCCCTTTCTTCATGCTCTGGGCTTACATCATCTCTTTTAGGGAGACAAATTCATGGAAATTTAATCAGAACAAGATTTATCAACCATGATATGGATATAGGAATTGCTAATGCACTTATAAACATGTATGCAAAATGTGGTTCTATAAGATATGCAGTGACTTATTTCAACCAAATGAGCTTCCATAATCTTGTTTCCTGGAATACCCTCATGGCAGGATTTGCAAACCATGGATTAGGGAAAGAAGCAATTGGATTGTTTGAACAAATGAAGGGTTTACATATAGAACCTGATTCTGTTACATTTGTTGCACTTTTAGCAGCTTTGAATCACACAGGATTAGTCAATGAGGGTAAGTTTTACTTCAATGAGATGATGAAAACTTATGGGATTACTCCAAATGTAGAGCATGTTTCTTGTATTGTTGACTTACTTGGGAGATCAAGAAGGGTAAAAGAGGCAGAAGAGTATATGGAAAGATTTTGTTTTGAAGATGATCCTGTTGTTCTTGGGTGTTTATTGTCTGCTTGTCGTGTACATGGTGATGTTGTTATTGGGAAAAGGACAGCTGGACGTTTGTTGAAGATTGAAGAAATTTCTAGTTCGCCTTTTGTGTTGTTGTCTAATTTATATGCTTCAGAGAGCATGTGGGAAGGTGTTGCAGATGCAAGAAAACAGTTGAAAGATAGTTTGTTGAAGAAGGAGGTTGGACATAGTTTGATTGAAGTTAAAGGGTGTGTTGAGAAGTTTACTGTTGGAAGAATTTGTCATTCCAGAATTGAAGAGATTTTGGGTGTGCTTAAAGTTTTGAGCTTTTTAGATCATGACTATTCTTGGTGTTACTAAAGTTTTACTAATGATTGAATATAGATGTTGACTTATGATTCCCAAAACTTTAGCATGAATGTCTTTCTTGGGTTTGTTGAAGTCGTTAGTTTTTGAAGTAGCTACACTCAAATCGTGTTCATTGGTGATATCTAAGGTAGTAGCTACACTCGAATCGTTTATTGGCGTCGTGGTAGTAGGGGAAGAACAATTAAGAATAATTAGCCTTCATTGTGCATGTAACATTCTTGACAATCCCATAATCCTAAACGTAGTTTACTCTTAACTTCAAATATCAAAAAGGAAACCATGCTTTTCAAACTAGAATTTGAAAATGTATTTCACACTTCGAGCTGGTGTTTTCTTGAATCTAGTAAAGGTCCGATGGGTTTTCCCGATGTAAGGAGAAGTTTGGTTAATGCTGGTCTTTCGATCTATAAGAATCTTGGGGAACCTACAAAAGTATTAAATGTCACTAGAGGGGCACAACAAAAGCAGCCCATTGCCTCAATTCTCGTTTCTAATTGCTATGAGAGTCTTAAATGTGGTGATTTGGGTGTAATGCCAAATAATTGGCCAATTTGATCTCACTTATTTTATCCTGATGATGCCATCTTTATGAGCGATTGCAAGGTTGTCAAAATCGTTTTTGTAATCGTAAAACCAGACGCTTCTACGATCCTAAACGTGAATATCGATCCCGATCTCATTAAACCTGTAGTAGGATCGTAAAATCGAGTCGTAGAATCGTTCCAATCCTACATTTCCCATGTTTTTCCCATTTGAGCAATGTAATTTACCTTCCAACTTTATATGACCATAACTTCTTCATATGTATTCGGATTTTGATGATGTTTATATCCAATGATTCATATTCTAGTCAACAACTTTCTTTTATAATAATTCGGCTAAAAACAACTTCATTTTTATTTATAATGATGTAAACGAAGTTTTAAACGTTTTAAAACGTATGGATGCATTGCTTGTTATGTTTAGATTACAATGGAAATTGTCTATAATAGCTACTAGGTGTGAGACTCATGTATTACATGAATTTATTTAATTAATTAATATATATATATATATATATATATATATATATATATATATATATATATATATATATATATATATATAATTTTAACAATTTGAAACGTTTGAATTTATAAAAAAATGAGAAAAATTTGAATTATTAAAATTAATAAAACTTTAATGTATTGAATACATTACATATATAAACTCTTTCTAATAAATAGTTTACATATATATTACCTTACACATTAAATGTGGAATTTTAATTTAATAAAATGAAAGCTACAATAAAATAACAAGTGAAAAATAAAAAATTTAAAAAATCTAGAAAATACCATGTGTTCAAATGAATGAGAAGAGAACAAATGGTAAAAAAACTTCATTTATTAAGGAGGATTACAAATGTTTTAAAAAATTTAGACCTTGTAGACAATCAACTAATGGATGAAAATATATTTTCATGTGTTAAAATTATAATTACATTGTTTTTGTAGGATCTTACGATCTCGGTTCGATCTTATGATCCAGATTTTGCAAACCCTAAAACGATCTAATGTAGATCTAGATCTTAACAACCTTGAACAACTGGCCTTCCTCAATTTTTCACAACCTAGTAGGAATACTTGGGTGTTTTAACTTGGCATCGGGGGCTAAAAGTTAACTTCTCCACAAATAGAGTGTTTGGCATTGGGATCTTCGATAAAGTTATCTTCTATAAAATCATTTTGCCTTTCTTTTCTCATACTTTAGGGCTTCTATTGTGGGCAAATATGAACTTATCAAAGAACCAGAAACCAGTCGTAGACAAATTCCAAGCAAGGCTTTCAAGTTGGAAAGCACAAACTTTATCATTTGACGAAAAAATCACTTTCATTATTATTTTTCGATTTTCAAAGCACCACTAATTGTTATTGAGATGTTGAAAAAACACATACTTTTTAGACTCATTTAGAGGTGGTCATTTTGAGCATATTAATGTTTTTCGTAATAAGTGGTATTATAAGCATATTTTCTAAAAACCAGTATTTTCTCTATCATATTAATTATTTAAGCACAAGCACACGTGCATCCAAAGACCAAGTTTCATGAAGCTCGAAGTTCTTTCATGGTGATACTAATACGCACAGAATGCAAGTTCAATCAAAACCCATCAAAGCTAGTGTAAAACAATCACACATTGTGTCTCAAAAGGTTATACAATCCAATTTGCAACTTAAAAAGATGATTTTTGTGCCCATTTTGTTCTTGAGAATCATCACATGTTCAAGTAATACATTGAAATATTATGTTTGGAGAAGAAGATTGCTCACAAATTAAATTAGACTGCCACTAAAACTCAAGCTTTTATGTCACAGACATTTGATCGAACACTTTGAATGCAAAATACAAACTTGTTTGACAAAAAAATAAAAATAAAGGCAGTGTACCTTAATTCACACTACAAAGCAAATCCCTTCAAGTACTCAGGATCTCGTTTCGCCCGTTCTTGAAACTTTTTAAACCACCGATCCAATATATCCATTGGCACCACCAATTTGCTCCCATCAACTCCACAAAACGATTGCATAAAATTAAACAAATTTTCCCCAACCTTCATAGCCAGCCGCTCAATCCTTTTCTCCGCTGCCACATCAAGTGATGGGAGAGAGGCCAGGTCTTCAACGGAAACTCCGATTTTGGCTGAGAGAGGGGCGGCGTCGGGGGCGGTGAGCTGTTTGTGAAGTCCTTCGCCGCCTGGATCAGGCCAGGGAAGGGAGAGGACGGCGGAAGGGCGGGCTAGGGTTACTGCGCCGACGAATTGGAATGGGGACCCAGGCGATTGGATGTACACAGCTAGGGCTTTGTCAGGTGGAAGAGTGAAATTATTGAGAAGAAAGATGCAGACTTCGCGGATTGAATCATACGCCTCACCTGCAAGTGATGGAATTTGGGGGTTAGTTACTGATGAAAACGATTACTGTGTGTTTTTGTGTGTGTGAGCTTTGGACATTACCAACGAATGTGTTCATGTCTAGGAGCCAGTGGAAGGTGTCGATTTGGGTAAAAGTAGATATGTCCATCGGGAAACTACGATTTGGGAACACGACGCCGAACATCGTTTCTTGATTTCTCTGTGTTGCCTCAAGATTCTAGAGGTTTTATTTGATGGGATCAAACGAAAAAGTAATTGAATGTTCGCTTTAGTAGTAGTGTATCTTCGAGCTCGTATCTAATGACACCGAAGCGAAGAAAATCTAGAAGGATCGAGACGACAATGGATGCTGAAAGCGCGGTCTTGTTAAAATTTGGAGGAAGTTACCTACGAAAAAAAAATAACGGGGTGTTTGGGTTAGGGTTGTTTGGTTTAGCTTTTATTAGGAAAAAGTTATTTAAAAAAAAAAAAAAAAAAAAAAAAAACTTTTTAAGGTAAGAATAAATTACAGATTCGTTCCTCGTCGAAGTGTCAAATTGTACGTTTAGTCCTTATTTTCAAAAATTAACTCGGATCGTCCATCATATAATCAAAAGTTGCACGTTTCGTCCCTCATATAATTAAAAGTTGCACGCTTCGTCCCTCACTGACATAAAATGACTATATTGCCCTTTTCTATTTTTTTTTTAGTTTTTTTAATATTATTTACTATTTATAAATTAGAAAAAAAAAAAAAAAAAAAAAAAAAAAAAAAAAAATTGAGATTTATAGTTTAGTGGGACTCACCACCTCTCACATTCCCCTATCCCTTCCCATCCACCCCCTTCTTCACTAAATACCTTCCCCGACACCACCACCAGCCACTTTTCCTTCACCACTTTCATCTCCGGTGGTTAAATCCCAACCATCTAAGACTACTCCTTCCCCCTTTTTGAACACGCCATACAAACACAAACATACACCAGGACAAATTTGTTTTGCAATAAACCCACCACCCTTTACCTTTAACATTCTCTCTCTCTCACACACACACACCTCCAGCAACCACCTGTAATGAGCACCAAACCAAAACAAAATTAAAAAGAAACATGCAATTAGTTCCAGAAAATGAAATCGAAAATGATCTCAGAAATTGAAATCGAAATCAAAATCCTAAAGATGGTGGTGGTCGTCATTCTAGAGCATTTCGCCGGAATCCGGTACTCATCTTATCCAGCAATAACTTTTTAGTTTCACTTTCAAAATCGAAACCTAGACTTAAGCTACATAAAAATGAGATCATAAAAAGAAATTGAACACAAGAACTTCTAACAGAGGTGAATGTGGTGAAATGAAATCCCAACGTCGAAATCTACCTGCGATTGATTTTTGAAATTCCAACTTCCAAAACCTGATTTTTGAAACACCGAATCCAAACCCAATGTCTAGAATCCGAACTTTGAAATCCGCTAGTGACCGACTCAATAAGACAAGGCGGGGAAGAAAATCGGCGAGAGAAGAGAGGTAAGAAACTTGCTTTGAAGTTGGGGTGTACTCCAGATTTACAAGTAGATCTTGGGGTAATGCTTTGGGTTTCAAATTCACATGGATGGCATGACGGTTGCACTGAAAATAAGGGTTTTCGGTGGCGATTTGTGTCCTCCGGTGCTCGATCAGTGTCGTCGGCGATGTTGATCGGAGTGTGGCGGTGCTCTTTAGGGTTCATAAATGGGGTTTTGGAATTTGGTGGAACAGATGAGATACACGGACCTAGGTTAAAGGTGGAACGATGAGGTGTGTGTCCATATTTCTTTTTTATTTTTATTTTTTTATATTAAAAGTAATAAATAAACTAAAAAGAAATCAAAAAATAAGTGTCAAAGGGCATAATAATCATTTTAGGTTAGGTAGGGACAAAACGTGTAAGTTTTAAACATATGAGGGGTGGTCCGAGTTAATTTTTAAAAATATGGACTAAACGTGTATTTTAGCATTCGGACGAGGGACGAATCGTGTAATTTACTCTTAGGGTAATTAACTATTGCCCTTGTACTCAATTGGTCACTTTCCTTTTTTTTTTTTTTTTTGTATCTTATTTACCATTGAACTTGTTGTATGTGTTCACAGAAACTAGGGGTGGAATTGGTACGGTACTAATTCGTTTTTTCTTAAACCGTGTACTGTACCAACTATACTTGGTATAAAAAAATTGCTACCAGTACCGTACCAAATATATTTGGTACCAATATATTTGGCTACCAACAAATTTGGTCAGTACAAATTGGTAATGGTATATACCGACTTATTTTATTTTTCTATTGTAAGATTTTAAAATAAGCAAATACATCGGGTAATTTTGATATTTAGTAAAGAAATTGGTTATGTAGTTCTTTTAATTTACAAAATAATTATATGAGAAAATTACACGGTTGGTCCCTATGGTTTGCTCTTACTTGCACGCTTCGTCCCTGGAAAGAATTTTTAACTCGGACAATCCCTATAACTTTATTTCGTTACCCGTCTAGTCCTTTAGTTAACTTTCCGTCTTATTTGGGGTTAGGAACTACTCACGTGAGTGGCACGCTGGGGGCATTTTTGTCCTTTCAACCATACAACGGACTTAAAACTACTTCTCCTTCCTTTTTTTTCTCAATCGGTGCTTCCAGTTCTCCTCTTCTACTCCATTTCTTTTGCTCGTGAAGACTGAAGATCCACAAAATTGATTATGGTGAAATGCAAGTGTGGAGCTGTAGGGATCATACGAACTTCAGGAACAAAGAGAAATCCTGGTAGGCCTTTTTATGCATGCCCTTTACAGGTATAGAGTATGCAATTTTTTTTGGTAATTTCTAGGATGAACCCTAGTTTGTGCTAATCGAGGGTATTGAAAACTTCAGGGACCAAGAAGTGGATTTATTTCGTGGGTAGATGAAGAAAATCATACGTATGAGGTTGAAAGCCAAAATCTTGAGCTTGAAATCCATAATGAAGAACTTCAAATCCAAAATCGTGACCTTGAAATCCAGAATGAAGAACTTGAAATCCAAAATCGGAACCTTAAAATGTTGTTAATTGTCAGTTGGATTTTGTTTTTTGGGATAATTGTTTACAAGTTGTAGTATTAGGTATTTCAGTAGTGGTTTTTGGTTGAAGATAATCTAATGAATGGGTAATATTAGCATGTTTGTATTGCTGCATTTTAATGAAATGGTATATTTTGGTACAATTAATAGTTGCACTTTGTTCTCTTATAAAAGATTACAATGGATTATTACCATCTTGTATTGCTGGAATTGGGAGAGAAAGGGTATCTATTGGTACAATTAATAGATGCAATGCAACTGTAATCTTTTGGTATTTTTCATTTAACATATGACTAAAAACATGCCAAATGAAATGACCAAAAAACATTCCAAATAATCCATTATATAACATTAAATGAAATGACCAAACACATGCCAAATGAAATGTCCAAAAACATGCCAAATGAAATGACCAAAAAACATACCAATAATTGATCCATTAGATAACATTAAAACAAAAGCATTACATAAGAGTTTAACCAAAAACAAATGTCTAAGTACCAACTGCAATTGTTTTGGTGATACTAAACACAATACAGTTTAATCAAAATACAAACATCACATGACATAATAGTTTAACCACAATACAAACATCACATTACATAATAGCTTAACCAAAATAAGAGCATCACATGATAAAAGAGTTTACAATGGATCCTTCTCTTTTCCTTTCTTCTTCTGTTTTCCTTTCTCATTCTCTTTTCCTTTATCCTTCTCTTTTCCTTTCTCATTCTTCTTTTTTCCCTTCTTCCCAACAGTTGGTAACTGCCCTTTGCAAGTCCTGGCATTGTGTCCTTTGTTGTTACATTTGGTACATGTAACAGTTTTTTGTGCTCTAGAAACTGTATTCCCTTTGATCATATCCTCTTTTTCTGTAGCTGACTTCCTTCGTTTCTTTTTTGGTCTTCCTATTGGGACACGGTGTTTTGGAGGCAACAAAGTAGTTGGACAAGGTGACTTAATCCACATTCTTCTACCATTTATCGGATCCACTTTGAAAGAGTACATGTTCCTCCAGGTTGATAGCCAATAACATTCATGAACAAAGGTTTCTGGAATACCAATTGCACCATTATTTCTCCTCATGTCCCAGATTGCAGATACAGCATGTTTGCATGGCATTCCAGTTATTTCCCACTTCTTGCATGAACAGGTTCGTTGATTCACATTCACTACACACTGATCTTGCCAAGGTCCACTCACTTGGTACTTCCCATTTCCACAAAATGATGTTGTATACTCCTCTGCCTGATCTTTGATCTTTTGCAATATCTTGGTAGCTGTTGGAGTCAAAGGGCCTGTTGCTTTGTCAATTTCTTTTTCAACATTCACAATCCTCTTCATGATGTACTCCCGGATGAACTCTAAGCAATTGATAATTGGTGTGTCACGTCCGTCTATTATTTTGCTATTAAAGCACTCGCATATGTTGTTTATCACAATATCAGAATGTGCTCTCCCTATTAATTAATAGAATACATGTATAATTGGTTAGCAAACATTAGAGTATTGTTATGAACTCACTTAATTTAATGAGTAACCACAACAAGAACAACACAATGTAAAGAACATAATGCAATTCCTTAACTATTACTAAATAATATAAAATACCCATAATGCCCCTGTACCAACAAGATGCTCTTTATTTGATGATTACCCCAAACTACCCTTTCTCTAAAATAAGGTGACCAGAGTGGGTGCATAACAAGTATACAACAATAGTTATCATATATTATAATATATAACATGGTCAAACCTGTAAAATGAGAACGTGCCCAATGTTGAGGTGGTATTTGTTTAAGCCACTCATAACATTCTTGGTTTAATTTTCTAACTTCTTCCATTTCTTTTTCAAACTCTTGCACAGTATATGTTGTTGAAAATTCCAAAGCAGTTCTTTAAACTTATCCCCTCTCCAACGTGACCTCATATTTTCGTGTATGTGGCGAACACAATAACGGTGCTCTGCACAAGGAAACAAATCTGCGATGGCAGAACTTAAACCCTACAAGAAAGATACATTATGTCAATGATTTCTTTTCCTTTAGATATTAGTATTCAAAACACAAGAAAATAACCTTTTGCCTGTCTGATATAAATGTAAAATTTGAATTTGAAGCCAACCCTAGGTCATCACCCAAGTGAGTTAAAAACCATGTCCAAGAGTTCAGTGTCTCAGCTTCAACCACACATATGCTAAAGGATATATTCCATTATTCCCATCTAAAGCCTGTGCAATACAATCCAATAAATAAAAGTAAAAAATAAATCAAAATATATGGTTCAACCACAACATAAGAGAAAATGTACCACAGCAGATAAAATTTGACCATGGAAAGGTCCTTTCATGAAAGCCCCGTCTACCCCAAGAAAATCCCTCTTCCCTGCTGCAAATCCTTGCTTCAAAGCACCAAGGCACACGTACACGCGTCTGAAGGTTCTTGTCTCAACATCAGGATTTGGTTCACTTTCGACATCAAGCTTGATAGTGGTGTCTGGGTTTTGAGTCTGCACTTCTAACAAATAATCTTGTAAGATCTTGTACTGAGTGGCATAATCACCCCTGATAATTTTTAAGGCTGCTTGTCTTGCCCTAAAGGCTTTCATCTTAGAAATATCTACTTTGTAGATACGTTAAAGTTGTTCCCTTAAAGCCTTGACTGGAATTTTTGGGTTTGCTTCCACCAGTTGTAGAATTTGCTTTGAAAGAAACTTGTAATCACAAGCCCTAACCTTTCTTGTTTGAAGACATTTATGTTCACTAACATATGTTTTAACTGTCCAATCCTTGTCACGTTTCCACTTACTGGCTAAAAGAACCCAAGGACACTTACCTTCTTCATTGACTACTTCTTGACCGGTCCCACCACCTAGGCTTGTTATGGTTCCCCTGCATACAACCCTTACTCTGTTTTTATCATTCTTCTCAAAATCCAACTCCCTTCTTGTATCTATTGCATGTTGGTTAACCATATCTTTAAACTCCTTTGACGAATTAAATTTCTGATATAAATAGAAAGGCTCACTGACTTGAGCATTTTCGTTCTCATGCGCCCTTCTAATAGCTTTAATCTTTTTGTTTCTTTCTCCTTCGATCCCATCATCCGATGAAGAGTCGGACAAGAAAAGTTCCATATCTATAACTTCAAGGTCTGCTTCATTCCCATCTTCTGTAACTACATGATTCTTTCTTTTAGAAGCACCTCCAATCCACTCAACATCTGGGTCAACATTCAAGTGGAATTCTCTCATGTCAACTTCAACATCATCAATGATATTGTCTTCGTCCACAAGAAAGTCACCATCTTGACTCTCACTATCATCACCACTGTTGATCTCATCACCACTGCTATTATCATCACTACTATGTTCAATTTCAGTTTCCATGATGTTTGCATTATCACTTACCATGTCCACCTTGTCAATTGAAGGCTCATTTCTAGTAGGTGAAACAGGAGGGTTGTTTCTATTAGGCTCAAATGTCAACACATCATTAGGCTCAACTTGTGTATCATGCCATTCCAAAAACAATCTTTTTGGGGTACAATCAATCTCAACTATACGTACCTTAGATGGGTTTGGTGACATCGAGTATGTGTGTAATTTCGTTTGCCCGTGCTCTGTATACACCTCTATTAGCTTATGCTGGCCAACATATTTTGCTAAATGCCTTACATCATCATCTGAAGCTAAAGCAAACAAGCCAAAATCCAAATCGCATAGTGGCCTTCGAAAATGATAGTACATCTCCACATGTAGATTTTCATCGATATACCCAAGTTTCACCATCATGTCATCAATATCGTGAACACAGAAAGTCTCGATGTCTATTAACTCAACGTAATGTCTCTTTCCGTTTACATACTTCCTTCCAGGAAAATCAGTAAACTTTCCACCATGGTTTAATAGCATGCAAAACATGGTCGGATGATCACCTATTAAGGAAATGCCCCAAAAATTTTGATTAACATTTGATTAGGGTTGTAGGATTTCACGAAGCAAATGCAAATAAAAACGAGATTAGGGACTAGGCGGACTTACCATATTGAAGACGAACTTCTGCTTCACTGATCATCCGTCCTCGTGCTTCACTTAAATTCCAAACCGGCATTGTTGATTATTTGGAAAAGCATACAAAGTTTTAGCTAGCGACTAGGGTTTTCGTTTGAGAGAAGAAAGGGAATTCGTCTGACAAGTGTGTGTTTGTGTGTGTTTTGGTTTGACGATGATCGGAATCGTAAAACCATCCGTCTGTATTCTAAATGGCGCTAATATATTGTAGGGTTGAAAGGACAAAAATGCCCCCAGCGTGCCACTCACGTGAGTAGTTCCTAACCCCAAATAAGACGGAAAGTTAACTAAAGGACTAGGCGGGTAACGAAATAAAGTTATAGGGATTGTCCGAGTTAAAAATTCTTTCCAGGGACGAAGCGTGCAAGTAAGAGCAAACCATAGGGACCAACCGTGTAATTTTCTCTAATTATATTGAAGTAACATTAAAGTAACATTTTAGTTTTGTGTTTTATCGTGTTAATAACTATCGACTAATCCAACCAAAGAACTTATATAACGTTCTTAAAACTCTAAACACTAAACACAACTGATAATTGAAAATTTGAAAGATACGATTTTGTTTATATATATATATATATATATATATATATATATATATATATATATATATATATATATATATATATATGAATTGGTTGGTACCGTATTACCATGGTATTCAAAATTTTATATCATTATCGTACCAACATTGTTCAATTAGTGCGGTACTACCAACCAAACATGTTGGCTACCAAATATGTTGGCTACCAACTTTCTTGGTTCGGTTGGTAGCATGTTGGTTGGTTTTCCGTGGTACAATTTTGACAGCCCTAACAGAAACCATTGAAACCGACTATTGAAGGTTTCCGGCAAATTCTTATCTCCGACGACTCTTCGGTCGTCTTCTCCGGCGAGCCGCCGACAAGAATGAGTTTTTTCGGCGGACTTTTATCGACTGCCATACAAGCGGCATCCACCGCCGGTGTTGCTGCTTAGCTTTCTCCACCCTCCCCTCTATCTCTCATGTCGATTTGATGCCAAAAAAAAAGGTAGAAGGGATGCACGTAGCAAGCCACCTGCCACCTCCTCCTGCCATCACCAAAACCCACCTGCGACATCCCTTTTGTCGTCGGTAAACCACCATTACCACCTCCTGCTGCTTGTTGCTGCTATAAGTCATCAAGCCGAGACCCAAGGATGCGTCGAAAATCTCATTTTTGCCGGAGGCTCGTCGGAGAAGACGACCGGCGAATCGCCAGAGATAAGAAATTGCCAAAAACCTTTAATAATCGGTTTCAATTGTTTCTGTGAACACCTACAAGTTCAATGGTAAATGAGATACAAAAAAAGGAAAGTGACCAATTGAGTACAAAGGCAACAATTAATTACCCTAATAAATCATTTCCCCTTTAAAAAAAGTTGCAAAAAATCAGGTTTATCTGACTTTTTCAAAAAGTTTACTTTTTTATATTTAAAAGTAGCTTTTATAAGATCTGTTACTTTTATCAAATATCTTTTAGCTTTTTATCTTTTCCTAAAAGCTAAAAGATGTTTCAAAAGATAAAACAAACACTCCTTAAGTTTTTGAGAGGAAGGGCAAAAATTCTTTTAAGAAAAATTATAAAAAATCAGGTTTACCTGATTTTTTCAAAAAGTTTATTTTTAATATCAAAAAGTAGTTTTTACAAGATCTGTTTTTTACCAAACATCTTTTAGCTTTTTATCTTTTCCTAAAAACTAAAAAATGTTTTAAAGATAAAACAAACACCCCTAAGTAATCTCCAACAATGTAATCCTTAAAACTACTGTAGTCTTAAACCTGTGGTGATAAACGGGTTGATGATAACCATCATTATATTCTTGAAAAAAATAATAATAGGAAACCAAAATCAATGTAATATAATATTAATTATGAAACTGCCTTAACATAAATTAATATAAATAAAACAAAATATTGGAAAATGAATATAAAATCCAAAAAAATATATAAAACACATGAGAACTAAGTTAAAAGACATCTTGGAATATCATCATCAAACTCGTCATGTAATAGGATAACTCATTTGCGTCGAATCTTACATCCTAACCGTAAAAATCCAAAAACAATAATAATTAACAAAACAAATAAACATAATTTAACATAAGGATCTTAGTGCAAGCAAAAAAAATATATCAAAGTGTTATAAAAAATCATATTTTTTTTAGATATAATGAATTAAAAGGTAATATATTTTTCGATTTCTACATATTTGATCACTTAGTTTTTTTTCATTCATATTTACCCATTCAACTTGTTAAACTGTACATAAAGTTAGTCGGAAAAATGACTTAATAGGGTAATATATTTCTCATTTTGTACACAATTAGCCCTTCATATTTTTGTATACATTTAGTCCTTATTTTTTTTGTTTCAAAATAAGTCATTTTTGTTTTTGTACTCATTCTTTATGAATGATTTCTTTAGGTTTTTCTCAGGACATCTTACGTGGGACAATCATTGATGAGGTGTTTGAGAATGTTGATGCTTATGGATATCGTGATCTCGACTGCTTGGTTGCGTAGGTTTTGTGGTCTGGCTTAGAACTTGTGTTATGAATGTCGTAACTTCTTTATACGATTTTAGATTTTAACGATATTTATATCCATGGACTCTCATATAGGTTTAGTCCATTCCTAATCAACATGGATCACTAACCCAAACTATAAGTATTATTGATTTACCTAATCAGTCCCCGTAAATTTAATCAGTCTCTTTTGATCACTAAATTAATTCCAAATTAATTCTTGATCAATACCAATTAAATAATATGATTTATCAATTAATATATTATTCATATAAAATATTAATAAATCACAAATAACCTCTTTCTCAGATACTCATCCTATCAAATTGCTCTGGTGAAGGCAACCCAAAAGAACCATGCTACTATCGGGTCAAGTACATACCAATTATAGTTATGGGCTTAAACACCTAATCCAACAGAGGAACCTTCTTATTCTGCAGTATGTGGCGGACGAGGAGATGACGGTATCATGAGATGCTGAGCAGCGACATTCGGCAGTTTGTGAGCCGATCCAGTTGCAAGACGCTGGAGGACATGATAGCAAGGGCTCGGGAGAGGGATATTGATTTAGATGGAGAGGGAGAGGAAGCCAAATATGGTGTCTGGTGTGGAGGGTTCGGGCAGGAAGCCCAAGGTGGATTCCTGAGGGAAGGGCCAGCAGGGCCAAGGCCGGTGCGGCAAGTGTGGTAGGATGCATGAGGGGACGTGTAGGGCGGGTAGTTTGGGATGCTTTAAGTGCGGCCGAACTGGTCATGTCAGCAGGGATTGTACTATTACCACCACCACCACAGTAGCTGATCTGATTTGCTTCCAGTGCAATTAGAGGGGCCACAAGAAGTCTCAGTGCTTGAGTTTAGCAGCAGCAGGATAGGTGGCGGCGCCCACTCCTGCTACATTGAGGATTACCGATGGCCGTCAGGGCCGGACCGAGGCGCCTGTGGTGAAGAGCAGAGCCATCCAGCTGACAACAGAGGAGGCACGAGCAGCTCCCGATGTAGTGACGAGTATGTATATTCTCCTTATCTCTTTATTTATATTGATTTGTTGCTTATGTTAATGTGTTTCATTATAAGATCATTCTTAGTGAACGACATATCTGCTCTGGTATTATTCAATTCGAGGGCTACCTGATCTTTTGTATCGCTCGTTCTTAGCAAGTGATTTGTTGGAGCTCCGGGGGAGCTAGACTACCCCTTTGATGTAGGGATTACGGATGATAGGATCGTTCGGGTCGCGAGGGTTCACCGGGGATGTACACTACAGTTGTTCGATGAGCAGTATTCTATGGATTTAGTCCCTATTCCCCTGCGAGGGAATAAGGTTATCATTGGTATGGACTGTTTGAGCCCCAATGGGTCAGTGATCAACTACGAGCAACAACTACTGCAAGTTCGGACCCCAAGTAGGGGAGGGCGAGACGCTACCCACAACAGGGTTACGCAGGTTATGTTACCTATGTAATGGATACCCATGATAAGGGTAAAGCGATCGTACATGATGTACGGATCATACGGGAGTACCCAGACGTGTTCCCATAGGATTTGCTTGGGGTACCTCCGGAGAGGCAGGTAGAGTTCAGGATCGACCTAGTTCCTGGTGCGGCTCCGATAGTCAAGGCACCATATCGGTTGGCTCCTCTCGAGATGCAAGAGTTGTTTACACAGCTGTAGGAGCTGTTAGACAAGGGTTTTATCAAATTGAGCAGTTCGCCATAGGGAGCCCTGATTCTGTTTGTGAAGAAGAAGGACGGGTCACATCGGATGTGTCTAGATTACCGGGAGTTGAATAAAGTAACGATGAAGAACCGTTATCCCCTCCCAAGGATTGATGACTTATTTTACCAGCTTCAGGGTGCATCTTGGTTCTCCAAGATTGATCTGCGATCAGGATATAACCAGATGCAATTTAGGGACGACGATGTGCAGCAGCCTTTCGGACTCACTATGATCATTACGAGTTTGTGGTGATGTCCTTTGGGCTTACCAATGCTCCCGCCGCGTTCATGGACCTCATGAATCGCATATGCAGACCGATGCTAGACAGGTTTGAGATAGTCTTCATTGATGATATCTTGGTTTATTCTAAGACTCAGGAGCACCACGAGGAGCACCTGAGGGAGGTGCTGGAGACATTGAGGAGGGAGAGACTTTTCACAAAGTTCTCCAAGTGTGAGTTCTGGTTGCGCGAGGTGCAGTTTCTGGGGCACCTTGTCAACCAAAAGGGTATTCTAGTCGATCAGGCCAAGGTAGAGGCCGCGATGCAGTGGGAGGTTCCGAGGTCTCCATCTGAGATTCAGAGTTTTCTTGATTTGGTGGGTTGTTATCGGAGATTCATCCAGGATTTCTCCAAGATTGTTGTTCCATGGACCTGACTGACCAAGAAGTCGGTGACATTCTGCTGGGGGCCTGATCAGCAGGCAGCTTTCGAGACTCTCAGACAGTGGTTGTGCGAGGCATCGATTCTAACCTTGACGGAGGTTGTCGATGATTTCGTG